CGCAATTAACCCAGCGACCTAAATTTTATTCCTGGCTACACCGCAGTGCACGAACCACAACATAAATGCTTCCCAAAGACAAAGCCTCCCTGTATAGCCTTTAACAGGCTATCGCGTGTTGTTAGCAATCGCTTATGAAGGTCGACACGACCCACGAGGGGATGGGTGGCCAACACCATGCCCAGTCGCTTTCTTCTCCCCAGTGGTGATATTCGCCACTGTTATTGGTCATGAGCGGGAATGAAACTTGGGTCGCCGGGTTCGCAGTGCAGTGCGCTCACCACTACACTACCACTCCCCAAGACAAATATCCCCCATATAACCTTTAATAGACGCTTGGAGCAAGTGCTGTTAGTGAGCACCTATGAAGGCTGTCATGGCACCAGAGTAGGTGGGTGGCTAGTGCCATGCCCAGCCGGATTTGTCTCCCAGTGGTAGTGTTTACACACTGCATTAGAAACTAATTTGAGGATGAGTCGACCTAAGGGAAGAGGCCCAGGACCGGTTCAGATAATCGTCACTGGTGTTGGCCGTGAGCGGGAATCAAACTCGGGTCACCAGGTTCGTAGCGCCGTGAGCTAACCACTATACTACTGCTCCCCACACATTTACATACACGTGTGCGGGCACGCACACGTAACACACTCACTCAAACTTATACACACATGCACACATAGGTAGCAGGAACCCACACATGTGTGTACCTTCCTGCCCAGGATTTGGTTGGCGAGTGTGGATTTGCCAGCGTTGGGGGCGCCTATGATGGCGACGCGGAGAAGACGAGGGCAGCTTGGCTGATCCGGGGTCAGCGCCATCTGAGCTGCGTGGGCATCTTCATTCACATGCGCATACACAGCATACAGCATCAATTTAGACACAAACAATATCTATGACACATATAAACACACCACAGCTGATAACAGCCTTCATGTGTCACTAAGTGAAGATGTCACACAATGCTTGTGCCATGCTAGGTGCACTTTAGGCCACCGACGTATCCAAAGGCTTGCTGAAAGGTCATGGGACCAGACCCAGGTGTCATGGGTTAATGGACCTGACAAATCTTCTTGGTTCTTTAAGTAAAGTTACGTAGAAGGGAAGTAATAAAATAATAAAAATAAAACAGAATAAAATAATTCTCACGACGTTTCGGCCACAACGCAAGCAGCCGTCCTCAGGTGAAAACCAGGTCTGTCGGGGAGACAGCGTCTGAATGAAACAGCACACGAGCTTGGAGCGTCTATTTAAGCTGGGTTGGGAGGGGGGGGAAAGGGTGCTTCGACAAAATAATTTGCATATCAAGAGGAATTTAGCATATTTATGGGAAATGCAGGAATGTGATTAGTACTACATATGCCCGTGCGTTATGCAGGATTAGCAGCATCAAAGGCAGGGGATATGGGAAATGCAGGTATGTGAATAGTACTACATATGCCCGTGCATTATTCAGGACTAGCAGCATCAAAGATAGCTGGCAGATGCACCAGCTGTGATTCCCACTGTGCCAACTTGCTTCGTTTTTGACACCCGGAACTCCGATCGTTGTTATATACGTTACTCCTCCAGCCTCCATTGTTGTTGTCTCCTAACTGCTCAGTAGCGTATTTCACGAGCCTCTTCCACAGAGGCAGATCTTGACATCGATAGTGCCAGTCATAGGCAAATACAATCAGCTCAAATTATCCTGTACTACATCAAGCTATCTCTGCTGTAGTCCGTGCTGTGCCTATTCAGCCCACTCTATCTGGCCAAACTGAAACTGCTTGCGCATGCAGTTGCTGGGTTTGAGGTCAACAAAACCCACTCAATTGAGCCTCTCCAGCCAGAGGAGCTCACGGATAGGACCATGTCCAGATATATCTAGGATCCGTGAGCTATTCACACAATCCAGCAAAGTAAAACCAAGATGGATTGTTGACAGGCTAGCCTGAATGTTCCAAGCTGGAGCTGGTGTAAAGGGGTTCATGCAAACGTCGAGATGAGAGGGCAAAACTGTGGCCGAGAAGACCCGAAGAAGTTGGGTGCATTAACCACACTCACTCGCTTGTGGTAGAAGACGGATGTGAGCGATGCCGTGGGGGGGGGAAGAATTACTTTAGTCATCTGGTTACCCTCATGGCACGCTCACATCCACGACAGTGACTAATGAGAGCACTCAGACGGGTGCGATGGGCCTGGCAATCCCGTCAACGTCAACTACCAAAGGATAACCGAGAAATCCATCTAAGTATGTGTCACAAGTGCAGTGGGGACGTGGCTCTTTTGACGAACTCTAGCCAAACTGAAATCTCACTTTTGCCGTTAAAGAGGGGTATGCTAAGCTGCCGATTTTTAGGATAACTTCATTTGCAATTGCATTTGACATATCCGTATATGTTCAGATAGAAGTACAGTACAAGTCACGCTACAACTTTTTAATGTTTCTTTCACTGAATTGCAATTGTACTATGATGAGTCAAAGAATAATCTGCTCGCGCTGACTTGCCTTACAAGGAATTCATGATATAACGTTAATATATGTTCGTGCAATATTTTAGATTTCTCATTGGACGTAATTTCTACTCGATTTCTATTGACTTTATTGCTGTTTTCTTTTGCGTTTTTCATTTTGGAGACCCAGGTCACTTGCAAAATGAGTTGATGCTAATCTCTTGAGAAGTCACCTGGTTAACAAAAATTAACCTGAACTTGACATTAATCTACACAGGGCAGGAAAACGGCAATAACTAGGAGTGACTCTTCTGAATTATAGAATTGAAAGGGGGATGTGGGAACATAGTGATGAGGTGTAGAAAGCCTCGAATCCCAGACTATTGTGGGCTAGGCTTCCCGTCAAGTTGAGGAATGGTGTTGGTGGCTTCCAACCCCACCAAAAATTAACATTCACGGAGAAATGCCGGCAAGGCTGCCGAATCATGCTTCAAATTACGTCCTGTCCCAGCATACACAGTATGCTGAGTATATACTCAGCATACAGTAACTACAATGTGCTGTATGTGTAAACTGCATGTTTGCTCAGGATATACTTTGTGTGTTTCTGTCCACTGTGGGTGTATTGTGTATTCTGTATATACAGTGTACAATGTGTATGTGTGGACCTGGTAAAGCGCTGACGCTCAGCGAATTTGCCAGAGGGAGGCTGCCCTGTGCTGGCCCGTGGAAGGCGCTGCCGAGTACAGAGAGCTTCACCTTGTCCTCCTCATCCCGGCTGGCTCCGGCTCGCACAGCATAGCAGGCACACCCTGACGGCACATACACACACACGCACCAGCTAAAGATTGTATGGACTGTTGGCGCTAGTGCTGTTAGCGAGCACCTATCAAGGCCGGAACGGGGGTGATGTTTAAAACATGGCACCAGGTACGTATTTGAGGTCGAGTCAACCAAGGGGAGCCCCAGTACAGGTTCATATAATCGGCACTGAACTCGGGTCGCCGGGTTTGTAGCGAAGTATACTCTTCGTTCTTTCGGTAAAGTCACGTAGGTAAAAAATTGAAATTAAAATTAATAAAAAATAAAATAAAAATCACGACGTTTCGGAGGCAACACAAGTCTCCGTCATCAGGTGGGACCGTCACAGCCAGATTTGCTGCATTATTTTAATTAATTTTAATTTCATTTTTTTACCTACGTCACTTTACCGAAAGAACTAAGAGTATGAATCGTTGCAGTCACGAAAGCTTCAAATCTAGAATTTGTAGCGAAGCTCCACACTCTGACGCGCACTGTACGAACACGTGCACGCACGGACTGTGCACGTGTGTGTGCACACACGCACTGTGCATGTGTGTGTGCACACACGCACTGTGCGCACACACACTGTGACACGCACTTGGTGTCGCGCCGGGGCGTCCCGCGGCGAGAAGAAGCTGGGACACGAAGCGAGAGGACGCGAAGCGGTGGGACGCGAGACGCGGCGACACGAAGCGGGCACACACGACCAGGGCCATGGGGGCGGCCATCGCGGAACCGGTTCCTGCGCACCCGGCAATGAGATCCGGATCCCATAAAGTGACAGAGAGCCCAGTTACCCGGATGTTGAGATCCGGGTCCCATAGACTTACACACAGACCTATTCTAAGGTTTTTTCGGTAAAGTCACGTAGGTAAAACATAAAAATTAATAAAAGTAAAATAAAATAAAAATCACGACGTTTCGGAGGCAACACAAGCCGAAACGTCGTGATTTTTATTTTACTTTTATTAATTTTGATTTTTTACATACATGACTTTACCGAAAAAAACCTAAGAATATGAATACTTGCAGTCACGAAAGCTTCAAATCTAGAATTACACACAGACCCCCCCAGTTACCCGGATGTTGAGAGGCGGGTCCCATCGACTGACAACACAGACCCCAGTTACCCGGATGTTGAGAGGCGGGTCCCATAGACTGACACACAAACCCCCCAGTTACCCGGATGTTGAGAGGCGGGTGCCATAGACTTACACACAGACTCCCAGTTACCCGGATGTTGAGAGGCGGGTCCCAAAGACTGACACAGACCCCTCAGTTACCCGGATGTTGAGAGGCGGGTCCCATAGACTTCCAACACAGACCCCTCAGTTACCCGGATGTTGAGAGGCGGGTCCCATAGACTGACACACAAACCCGTCAGTTACCCGGATGTTGAGAGGCGGGTCCCATCGACTGACAACACAGCCCCCCCAGTTACCCGGATGTTGAGAGGCGGGTCCCATCGACTGACAACACAGACCCCTCAGTTACCCGGATGTTGAGAGGCGGGTCCCATCGACTGACAACACAGACCCCCCAGTTACCCGGATGTTGAGAGGCGGGTCCCATAGACTGACACACAAACCCCTCAGTTACCCGGATGTTGAGAGGCGGGTCTCATAGCCCCCCAGTTACCCGGATGTTGAGAGGCGGGTCCCATAGACTTCCAACACAGACCCCTCAGTTACCCGGATGTTGAGAGGCGGGTCCCATAGCCCCCCAGTTACCCGGATGTTGAGATCGGGCTCCGCAGGTCACGTGCCACGCACAATCGTCATGGCTGCCTCCATCGTACGCAGCGTCTTTGCGCCGTCGCTGCTGTTGCTACTGTCGCTGTCTCTCTGCTGTTTCGCGCAGACCACCACGACCCCCTCGACCCCCTCGACCCCCTCGACCCAAGCCACCCCAACGAGCACGGAGATTCCGGGAAGCCAGACCACGGCCAAGGGTGAGGGAGACGCGCGGAGCGGGGGCTGTTGGTGTGGAGAGGCGTCGCGCGTCACCATGGCGACCGCTACAATTGAACAGCATCGGCAGACTGTGATCGATCCACTGCTCGATCGATGCGAGCTTGTGAATAACTGTCGACCCATACGGGTTCTACCCGTGTCCTTGTCCAGGGAAATGAGAGTGTTCAGGTTTCATACGGCGTACAGCCGATTCAAGACGGGCAACTCCCTTGTGATGGGGACATTTCTTTGAAGTAAGGTTGAGATCAATCTTGATTTGAAGCTTTCGTGACTGCAGCAATCCATACTCTTTGGTTCTTTCGGTTAAAGTCACGTAGGTATAAAGTAAAATAAGTCACGACGTTTCGGGCGCAACACAAGTGTCCGTCATCAGGTGGAAAAGCATGGCCTGCTGCTTAGGCAGACTGCATGTCGGGATGTACGCTAAACATTTTGAACAGACACATAATCACAACTTTGCCCTATATATATGGAGAGAATAGCCCTGTGAGCCATTCGGCTCTTGAATCGGGTGCAACCGCAACAAGCAAAAACATGAACAAGAAACATCTTAAAGTGACTATGCGCAAACAGAAAAATCCAGGAAAAAACAGCAACGTCTTCCAGAAAAAGCACCGTACATCAATGCTGTGTGCAAAAATCCCAGTGGGATGCAAGTCAAACAATAACAACCATAAGACAATTGCATTTGCTTCTGATGAAGATTGCGATCGAAACGTCATGATTTGTTTGATTGTATTTCTACCTACGTGACTTTACCGAAAGAACCAAAGAGTATTGATATCTGTGGTATAAAAAAGAGAGAGCTTTTGTAGGTCCTCGGATTGCTCCAGCCGTAAAATTGCATATTCTGATTCTAACAACTCAAGAGAGTCGGATTTTTCTAATTTTGCAACAAGTGGCTTGACCCGGCTTACCGAAATGGCAGCAGGTATCGGCACCTGCTGCACCGGAGCCGCATGCGGCTATTTGGCTGCCCTGTTTTGCGGGCAGCCGTATTTTTTTAAACCTAAATCTTAAACTATGGAATGTCTTGGTGACAACAAAATGTACGGTCAAACTGTGTTGTTAAAGAATAACTAAGGGGAGGGGAAATACTGAAGAGACACAGTTTATTCCATAGCATATTTTGTTTATTTAAGTCAGAATGTGTTTGTCATCTGCTGTGCACAAGCAGCTCTGCGTGTGTTGCGGCTCTCGAACTATTTTGGTCAAAGACAAAAAATATCTTCTTCTTTGAAAGGTTGCTGACCCCTGCCATGCTTCAGTGTAAAAAAAGAAATCCCCTCATGGTGTCTCTATTTATTTCCAAATGGTAATATATATTTGGTTTACATTGCATCGACTGGCCTGCATGATATGTTGAGTCGTACAGGATTTTTCCGTTTTTGGATTTTAAGTAAACAAAATCCTTGACTACAGACCCCCAGTGGCATATTTGCTCCTATTGGGCTTCCAAAAGCAAATTTTTCTCATGGATTGATGAGTTACGTGTGAATTATTCTTCACAGATTTATCCGAATTACATTGCTAATAACCCTACAAACCACTATTTTCAGTGCAGATTTTTTTCGTGTAATATCCTGGTGCACCACGGATAACACGCTGTGCGACACTTTCCCCCACATCACTTGGGATTTCTGGAGTCCTGATATACAGGCAGACCTCGCTTAGCGCCCCTGGAAAAGTGAGCACATTCAAATCAGTGGTAAAAGGGGTCATTATACCATTATGTATATGGGAATGCGTTCCCAACGGAGTAATTTTTTCCCTGCGAACAATATATGAAGGTTTCATTTGGGGTATCGGTAATGACATAAATCATACAGGGTACATTTTCTCGGTCAGCGCTGCTGCGTGTTCTCACTCGTAAGCAACTTTGTAGATTTATTAATCTTTTTATAAAAAACCTCCTCCAGGACAAAGCGCTATAACGAATCAGCGTTCTACGGGGTCATGCTAAGCGAGGTCTGTCTGTATATATGTGCACGGTAAGTGGGGGGGTCGTACTGGTGAGCACACTGTGCTACAAACCCGGAGACACGAGTTCTATTCCCATTCTAACATCGGTGGCGAGTGGTATTAGAACCAGTCCTGGGCGTCCACTAGGTCAACTCAGTTTTAATACATGGTGTGATGCGTCAAACAACAGCACTGGGAAGACAAAGTCGGCCAGGCACAGTGTCGTCAATAAAATTCTCACAGGCACTTGTGCCAGCCTTAATTGGTTATCGATAACAGCACTTTCATATTTTGTGAACTGCAGTTGAACGTATTAGTAATCTGTAAATAGAGCAACGTGCAAACTATATAATTAAATTGTGAATTACAAAGTCGTGGGAAATGGATATCGCAATAATCATATCTTTCCATGTGTTTTTGGGATGTATGCCCGGTGCAACCCAAAAACACATCGGAGAGCTATACAGCACAATTGTGAAAACAAACGCAGTGGAATCATCATATCGTGAAAATTAATTTAATATTTTCAGCAAAAAATGTATCACAGCAACCCTAATGTGTGTGTGCGTGTTTGCGTGTACATGAGCAGGCATGATTCCCTGCCTCTGCGACTTGAGTCAAGATGGCTGCGATGTCAGCTGCGGCTGTGACAACGACTGCACAGCCTATGAACGCGAAGTATTCACATCAAGTCCACAAGACCGGTGACACAAACAGCACGAGATGGGCACGACAAAAAGCACACCACACAATACAAAACAACGTGGATTTACAGAACGTCTAAATGCGATTGCATCTGAAGGTGCTGTAGAGAAACAGTGAGCATGTTTACTTTATAGGGGCAGTCATAGAGACCTATACAATTATGTTGAGAGCCACAGGTTTACGTAGAGATCTATAGACTGATTACATAGAGATCCCAAAGACTTGTGTAGAAATACAATGTAAATTTACATAGCGTATAAGGGTGACTGCATCTCAAGACGCTATTCAGAAATAATGGTAATATTTATTTATTTATTTTACAGAAAGAGGCGGTCATAGAAGAAATACGAAACGACTTGAACCTGGACTGGAACGGGCAAGGGAGTAAATAGTATGGATGACTGGGCAGATGGAATTTCCAGACTATGGTGGCAGCGGAGGAGAATGAGCAACCTCCAACTGACTGGGAGCTTCAGCGGAGACTCCGTGCAGAGGAGTAGAGTGAGATTAGAGGGGAGAGGTCGATCGAATTGGGAGCCAGGGAAGTGATCGGGGTTTTGGAATGATGTGGTCTCGTTTACGGGTGCGGGTCAGGAGTTGGGCAGCGGCAAACCTGACATAAGCAGACACAATGGAAGACAAGATGACGAACATTACCGGATGGTAAGGCGATTGGGTGGCTCAGGTGTTAGAACACCAAGTTGTTATCACCGAAATCGTGGGTTTCAATCTGGGTTTCAGTTGTCCATGAGTTATCAGTAGGGTGTGGTGCAGCAAAATCAATTGTTGTAGTGTTCTATGCTCCTGTGTTTGAGTCCCCACATTCGCCAACTTACACTGAACAGCATACTGAGTTATTGCCAAATAACCCCCATGAACGGCACAGTGTGGGGAGACCCTCTTCCAGTAGTGGATTGACGAAGAGGGCGTTTAAGTATACACAAGACAAAAGTACGTAAAAATATGAGTACCATAGGGCATTAGTACTCATGATAACAGAATACGCGAAGCACACAACATACTCAGATTGCGTACCGGCCCGGGTGTGTGATTATGGTTGTTTTATGCATGTCCGTGTGCAGATGGGCGCGTGTGTGTGTGCCGACCTCCACATTCTTCAAACACAACACCCCCTACAGCCTCGACGACAGCCGGCCCAGCCTGGCCTGCATCACCCACAATGACTGTGAGTTACTCGCCAAGTCATCCGCCAACAGTACACCATCGTTGTCATCATCAGCACTAATTTACAGGATGGATTCTCCATGCCATCGCCATGTCTCTGGCCCTGTGATGGTTGGGCCCAAATACACAACAGATTATCGTGTCTCTTCTTTTGATGTGCCGCATGTGCAGTGTGAAACGCTTGCCCTTTTTCCAAAACCTGTCTTGTGTATTCCTCAAATCTCCCTGCACTGTAATGCATGCGTCACATCTCAGTAAATCAAACCACGTTTAATTATCTAGCACACATTGCATGTATCAAAGCACAATTCCCAACCCCCCCCCCCCACCCCCTTCATGTATACGTTTGTGCAGCTGCATGAAATGACCACCTTTTCCTGAGAACCTTAACCAATGGAAGAGCAGGGAAAGTTGAAGCGTGACGGTCACGTGTCTTTAATACATGTGATAAACACGTGATTGAGAAGCAAAACAAATAGGAAAATGCACGCAGAGTTGCATCCTGAGTAAAAGTAATTACCGTATTTATCAAAAGTATTTACTGCAGGATAAATAAACATCAGCATTGTAAACACACGGAGCACTGAGCACTCCGTGCACACGATCGCACGAGCTATTTGCCCTGCAAGCTGCAGCAAGCGTCGCCTATGTACACACCGATGCAGATGCGGCTTGTGCATGGTGGTCTAGCAGCGAGCAACAACTTGCGTCGTACATAACCCCCCAGGACTCTTAACATCACTATTATTAACCTCACTGTAATTCTTGACTTAAAGCTTTCATCACCGCAGGAATTAATATTCTTTGGGTCTTTCGGTGAAGTCACGTAGATAGGTTCAAAGAAAATAACAAATAACTACGAAGTTTCGATCGTAACATTAACATAGCCACCTTGGTTTGCTCGCCGTGGTGGATGATCGGCGATCTTACATTGACATGCTAATTTTTAGCTGCCAGCCCTTTGATTGGTGGAAAACGCACCACCACCTCGGTCGCTGCCCACCACTTGCATTAGCATTGGCTGCTGACATTTGGGCTACGCCCATTTCAAACCTTTATATAAACAGTTGTCTTTAGAAGCTAACCCCCCTTTTCCTGATGACGACTGCTTGTGTTGCGATCGAAACGTCGTAGTTATTTGTTATTTTGTTATTTTCTTTGAACCTATCGACGTGACTTTACCGAAAGACCCAAAGAACACTCACTGTAATTGCTTCGCTATTTCTTGATTTTCTTCAAAGGCTTAAATATGGTTTGCTCATTCAGGTAAGCTGATTTCTTGTACACGTGATATGTATTTTTTTACGTGCATGTTATGCTGTGTTTCTTGTCCTTCCCCCGCACCACCGATTAGCATGGTTGGCTATGTACGGTGCGAAAGAAGTTTTACATTCATACATACAAAATTGTGTTGGACGAACAATAGCCCTGATGGGAAAAATAGGGTTGCATTTGGTCCGAAATGATCACCCCCTCCCTCTTTGTTTAAATAATTCTACATGATTTCCATCCTTGTTATTGTACAAAAGGATGCTGAGTGGCGCTACAATTCTTGTGTGTCATGCGGACTCCCATTTCTTTTATTTCACCTCACCGCGGCACTCACGCCTGACGCTCGCCCCTAACACTGTCACTTGAACGTTAATGATTCGCCATCTAGGCATCCGTATGACTAACATCCTCAGCGAATGGACAGTCGCATGCGGCAATGTGGAAACATTTGCGTTGTGCCATTGTGCGCGTTGTGTTGCGCATATACATGGTCGATTAATGCCCACCTTCCAACGGATGCAGAATTATTAACGCCACTCTTTTTTTTTCCATGCGGAGATGCGAATCTTAGCAGCATCAAACTGCATATCACCGAAATATGACCCCCTCTCTCTCTGTTTAAGGCCTCGACACAGAGGCGTGGTTTCTCTGTGTGCTTATGTGTGTGTCTCTCTTTATGTGTCTCTGTGTTATATCTCTCTGCTTATATGTCTGTCTATATGTCCCCGGTTCTGTGTTTTATCTCTCTCTCTCAAATTTAGCATTCTCTGGAAGAACGTAATCAACCAGGTAGGGTGTTGACTGTTATGTTAGCCGACCCTCTGTGTTGTATTGCATTATATTTCTAAGTATACTAGGTTTGTTTTCTATTTCATTTGTACCTGATGATGATTGCTTGTGTTGCAATCAAAACGTCGTATTCTATTATTTAATTGATTATTTTCTCTTTATACGTGACTTTACCGAAAGAACCAAAGAGTAATTCCTGCAGTCACGAAAGCTCCAAATAAAGTTTTATGACCCCCGTGTTCTGTAAAACAGACCTCATCAGGTAAACCGTGTAGAGCCTAGATACGTGTTCGATAAAGCCACGTTGGGCAAGGTTTTCCTGTGTAGCGGCCTGCGCTGTGATACACATGCATAACATCAAGAGAAACTCAATGTTCCGTGTATTGTCAGGCTTAATCAATTGAGCACCCGCGCGGTCTCCAAGGTTTTCACTCTCGCATGTGCACGCACATTTTTCTGCTTCCAGTTTCGTGTCGAAACTTCTACCCGGTCATGCGCAACATCACGGAATTCGACAAAGAAGTGTTGCAAAGCGGAGTGGGTACAGCGTTCATGTGGGTGGAGAAGACACCAGAAGCTTGCACAACAAGACCATACAGGGTCAGTGCACACACCTAGAGTATGAAGATGAAGATCCCCCATTTGGTCTTAAAAGACTGTTGGGGCAAGTGCTGTTAGCACCTATGAAAGCCAGCATGCCACACCAGGGGGTGGGTTGCCAGGACCACGCCTAATCGCCTTTGTCTCCATCGTGGCGATATGAACACATTGCACTCGATATTCATTTGAGGCTCAGTCGACCTAGAGAAGGCCCAGGATCAGTTCAGATAATCGTCACCGATGTTGGCCGTAAGCAGGAATCGAAATCGGGTCACCGGGTTCATAGCGCAGCGCGCTAACCACTGCTACCCCCCAGGGGCAGTACACAAACATATACACATTCGGGGTCAGTACACACCTAGGGTATAAACACATTCCTGCGGAGGGAGCTGGTAGGAACGTTGGGTTGCTCGGTCAATGGCCAGGGTGAAAGGCGGCGTGGTGTATTCCGCAAATATGGCCGACTGTGAGGGCGGGCACAAGCCGGCGTGAGTCGGTTAAACGTTGAGTTTTATAAGGGCACCACGGGGTGACCAGCCCCTCCCCACCCAGCCCCTCCCCATCCTCCCCACCCAGCCCCTCCCCACACTCCCCTCCCCACCCAGCCCCTCCCTCCCCACCCAGCCCCTCCCTGCACGACGGACGGACGGACACAATAATCCCCTGTGGGCTGGTGTAACCAGGAGGTTCCTACCAGTATCACTGCCATTTTCCACTAAGTGACGGTGACATCACCAAAGCGCTTGTGCTAGGCTAGGTGCACCTTGATGGCCAAGTAAAGTGTCGAAGGCTCTCTGGCAGGAGGTCATGGGACAACCCCAGGTGTTACCAGTTGACCGAGTGAGACGACTGCCAGATGCACCATCTGTGCCCCTCACTGTGCCTCCTAGTTGCGTTATAGGCACTAGACGTTTTGCTCATTGTTGTGAGCATCGCTCCTCTGCCCTCAAATGTTATTGGAGGGTGACTGCCTCCATCTGCCCAGTAGCGTCCTCCATATGAGCCTCTTCCACAGAGGCCAATCTTGACACCACCAGTACCAGTTATCTGCAAGTCCAATCAGCTCCAGGTCTTTTTTTTACATCAGTCTACCTCTCCTCTATCCTCTGATGTGGTCGTATAGCCAGGCATTGCAGTGGCTTGGCATGCAGACTATAGTACATTACCCACCCAACACAGCTTCGTCTGCTGGGGCTCACTGATGGGATTGTGTCCAGATCTTTCATGGATCTGTGAGCTCTTCACACAATCAAATCTGGTTAAATCCTGAATGGAACATAGGCAGGCCAGCCTGAATGTTTCAAACCAGCACAAATGTTCCTTTAAAGGTCTCCACATTTCGCAAGCATAGAGAAGGGAGGGCATAACTGTGGCTGAGAAGATCCGGAGCTTCTTATGGAGTAATAGACCAGGTAGCTTCCATACAGTGTTATGCAGCTAATGAAAATATAATGCGGCTTGACAGCAGAGTACAAAGATCCCCCGTATAGCCCTAACAGGATGTTGGGGCAAGTTCTGTTAGCGACCATCTATGAAGCCCAACACGGCACACGAGGGGGTGGGTGGCCTTTGTCTTCCCAGTGGCGATGTTTACACACAGCACCAGGTACTAATTTAAAGCTGAGTCGACCTAGGAGAGACCCAGGACCGGTTTAGATAATCGTCACTAGTGCCGACTGCGAGCGGGAATCAAACCCGGTTAGCCGGGTTCGTAGCGCAGCATGTCACAAGAGCGATTAATCCGGTACGCACCTTCTATTGATAGCTTAGATTTTTGTGCACGCAAAAAACGGCAGGATGTACAAGCACAATGTGCATGCATAATGTATGTTGATTACCCTATGATTAACCCAACCAGTAATTGATATCCATTGTAATGTATATTCATTCATTAACCTGATTGGTTCACAAGTGACGACATCACATTTATCCCTCTATTTAAGAACGAAACAGGAGGATTTCTCCACAAATATCGCCGTTGCCTGATTATGATAGTTATAATTGCCGGCGAAACGTCGTACTACAAATTGTAATTGTTGTGGGTTTACTCTCCAACACACCGGTGTGCTGTACTCGTAACGAATTGGCCACGTTCTGTTTACGTGACAAACCTTGCCAATTGGCTGTGTCGGGTGGTGGCTGGTTTAATGACACATTTATATTGATGCGATCTAACCCAAACAAACCCTCTATTATGCACCTTTGCCTGTTCTCAACAAATGCCCAAACCATCTGAGCCGAGCCTGCTTCACCGTGACAAACTGTCGGGGTTGGCCACTCAGCCTTGAAGGAACGGCCAGTGAAAATCATGAAACTCGGATTTTTTAAATTAGTGAAAGTAGTGACTGTAGTCCACCATTGGAACCTCCTTTGCCAGTAGCAAAATATGATAATTGTTTTTTTACCGTTTTATCTGACAACCGAACTGACAGCGTCATCTGGTCCAACACCATGTGAGACTAGGCTCTAAGAAAAGCTGTCTCGGATGTGGACCAATCAATTTCAAGGACAGTGCATACATTATCAGAGTTGTGTTTTTTGTTTGCATTACGACCGCAGGTATTGTGGTCAATGCAAACATGACTCCTTGTAAACAAGGTGTGAGTTTTGTTGCCAGATAAAAGGGTAAAAAAACAATTATCATAGTGACTGTAGTTTTAATTATTTAACTGTCTCTGTGTCTCTGTTTCTGACTTTCTTTGTGTTTTTGTGTCATCCAGGTGGGTGACCCTATTGAGGTTGTGTTCGAGTCTAATGTACGAACTCGTTTCTCTGTCCCTGTCCCCGTCTCTCCAACCGGAATCTGTGGGCGTGGTGGCCCTGTGGGTGAGGACATCAACACCATCAACAGCGTTGACTTCATCACCATCACCATCATATGCATCATCATCATTACCAACGCTATCATCAACAACACGATGGTAATTGACATCCCCGCAAATGATGTCTTCAACATACAGGCGGTCAACGGTTTTACGACGGTTCGATTGACCACGATCCACATTTATGATGTTTATATAATGCCACCATGGATCAATTTACGACGCAGAAACTTGATTTACAACGCAACTTCCAACATGACTCCGAACGCATTTGAACAGTCAGTCTGGTTTGCGATGTGACTTGGTGGCATTCTCAAGTATTTATGTGTATTTCTATTTATGTGTATTTCTACCTATTGAAATATTGTTAAATGTAGCTGATGAAAAGAAAAACACATCGGCAAGTGAAGGCTCTACTGTATATGGGAAAGCAGATTTGATTTATGACGAGGTTTGCAGGAACGCATTGTTTCGTAAATGCAGGGACCGCCTGTATATTAACATCCTCATCACCATCAACCGCGTCATTACCAGTACGATTATGTTGAACTTCGAACTTGAACTTCTTTCACACCGTACGGAGCCAATCATGCTAATTGGAGGTGAATGACATTACATTAACAACATTACTACAATCGACATCATCATCATTACCAACACTATTACCAACATCACAATTAAACATCATGGCCAACATCACGAATATCACCACCACCACCACCATAAGCAACATTACCAGAAAAATTTATCACTATTATCATCAACACCACTGTCAACTTTTAGAGCAATTTTACAATCAAATATCAGAATCAATATTGTCATCAACACCACCACCACCACAATAATCAACATCATCATCTCTGCCATCATCATCACAATCAACATTGGCAACACTATCAGAATAAACAACATCATTAACAGCACCACAGTCTGGTAATGGATATGCTTCATTGTATATAATGCATATGTGTGCGTGTTCCATTCTTGATGGGAACTCTTCCAGCTAGCCATAGAACGATTTATTAATTGAAATTGATATTCATATTCACATTGCATGCATTGAATCTTGCGTAGAACGTGATCATTATCCACAATGCAAATGGAATGCTAAAATGCCTTTCAACTGAATGAATGAGACAACACAAGCAAGGCATATAATACTAATGGGTCAGTAAAAATTAGACCAAACACTCTTGAATTATAAAATGTCCTATAATCACGGCAATTAATGTAACGTGTCAGATTGCATCGCGTCTGTCTGTTGGTGTGCGTGCAGGGTTTCGAATGGACCGTTCAGTATCGTGCCTGCGTTTGATTAGTGACCTCAAAACGGCATGCACAGAAAACTCTTTCCTTGACGGGAAAATCTTCACCACCTTCAGTTTCCTCAAGGTTAGTTAGCTTCGTTTAAAGGTTTCAAGCACTGGGTGCTGGTTTTCTCTCTGGTGCCACATTTTTATGACAACAGTGGAACCTCGGTATACGTCGTTAATTCTTTCCAGAAGGTAGGACTTATACCGAAAATGACGTATCCCAAACGAATTTAAATAATCCGTTCCAGAGGAAAATAAATGATATTTTACATGGCATATTATACATTAATGGGGTTGTATAAAATAATTTGGACACTAATTACTAAAATGTATACAGAAGCCACGTGACTGCTCTGCTGCCAGCTGTGCTGGTCACATGGCGTGCCTCAACCCCGCACGTCGCGCGCCTTGACCCGGGGCTCCACCCTCCATGGGGGCAGCCCCCCACACCCCCTGCACCTCTCCCCCACGCCACCCCACCCCTCTCGTTTTGTTTCAGTCGTGAACGGCAGAGGTCGCAAACGGGTTTTAATTCCTTACCCGTACCCGGCCGCACCAGGGTCGCAAACGGGTACCCGTACCCGTACCCGGCCGGGTACGGGTAGCCGGGTATCGGGTAGGGTACGGGTATCGGGTACCCGGTTGCGACCTCTGCTCGGCATGGGTCAGTTGTAGAGTGGAGCAGAGCTATCTGCCTTCCGCAGGGAATTAATAATGTCTGTCAGGTCACGGCGCCAGAATTTATGAAATTCGTGGTTCAATCTCCAGGACTGGATGTCCCTTAACCCTTTCCTGTTCTGAGACGTCTGCAAGTCGCAGGGTGGGGTCTCGTTGACTGCTGAATCTCGGAACGACGTGCAAGTGGTTTGTGTTAATTCTATTTAGAGAGGCATAGCGCCATTGTTTTTAAAGACATTGTACTCACAGCAGAGAACTGTAGCGACACGACCGCACTCTACGATAGCTGGCGCCAAACTTTGCCACACACCCTCCCGCATGGCCTTGTGGGAGCCTCGATACGTCTTCTGACCTAAAGACTCGCCAATAAAGTTATTTTTTTATGATATACACATACATACCCACATGTCATTGGAATGGGAAAGGTTTAATTAGTTTCATGTGATTCATAATGGTCATGTTGGACATTTGAGCCAACACTTGTAAATTGTGGGTTTTGAACCAAGTGAAAACTGATGCATTTTTGCTTCTTGTATTCTGCTCCCAGGTTCTTCTGAATGAAACTACTCTGCATCAAGAAGTCGATTTGGTCCCCGTCATATGGCAAGATACACCCAAAAATGTTAGTTGGACCTCGGACCACTGTGCAAATGCATTGATAAAGGTATAAAACATACGCTACCAATAACAAAAACAACTGCCATTCACCACAAAGTAGCGGTGACATCACCACGGCGCTTGTGCCAAGCTATTTTCACTTTGAGGCCACGTGAAGTGTTGATCGCCCGCTGGCAGGTCACGAGACAGACCCAGGTGCCATGGGTTGACTGACTGAGATGACTGGCCAATGTACCACCTGTGCCCCCTACTGTGTCAACTTGATGTGTTTTAGCCGCCCGGCGCTCCGCTCATTGTTGTGAGCGTCGCATCAGCTCCATATCCTCTCGAACCACATTATTCTATCTCTTCTCTAGCCCATGCTGCGCCCGTTTAGCCCCCCCCCCCCCCCACCCCTGGTTAAACCCAGGCTAGATCGTCGGCAGGCTAGCCAGAATTTTTCTAACCGGCGAAGATGTTCCATTAGGGGGGGTCCACGTTTTGCAAGCTTAGAGAAGGGAGGGCATGTCTGGCCGAGAAGATCCGAAGCTTCAAGTGGAGTGACAGACCAAGTAATCTTCCACACAGTGTTACGCAGCCGATGAAAATATAATGCCGCTCGACTGATGCAGAGTGAGACCTCTACTGTCAAACCAAAGTTTGTCAGAAGTGTACTGCCCAGGTATGGACTCTCCACGACTACCACACCAATGGGGAGTTGAGGGTGTGGAGTGTTAAATGATACAAAATACCCAGGCAGGTGCTTAGTTTTGGAGGCTCAGGCTCTATCTCTTAGTAGCACGCTCCAGCAGTGCCTCCAACTCCTCCGCAGAGTGAGCAGTAATCACGAGATCATCAGCGTAATAACACGGTTGGCCAATAGGGAGCCATGCCTCGACCACACCCAAGCATCGATCTGCTTCTCTTTGTATAGAAGTGTAGTGACTAACTCGGAGACGATAAGACTTGGAGGCACTTTTATTTAACGAGTACCATCCTACTTCCAGCAACAGCCCCGAGTTCCCCCATAGGGGCACCTCTTATACTCTCAGCGTGGCCTCGCTCCGCACGGGCCACGTCCCTTTCTGCCCAGGCCACGCCCCCTTTCCGCCCGGGCCACGCCCCCTTTCTGGAACCTACTAGCCGGTTCCTGAGACTTCCTGATGGGCCCCCCTATGGGCCCCTCCTCTGTGACCCTTCCCCGAGATGTCCCCCTCTGGTGTCTATCGTAGCCTGCTGATGTCAGTACTGCTCATAACAAATGTTTTTGGGTCAGACACGGCGAAACAGTAAAAAAATGTGTCACGTTTTTTAAAGGGCAAAATGATTCACTTCTTTAGCCCACCGGTGTGTTGAAGAGAGATTCAACAGCATTTGAAAATTTGAGTACGACGTTTTAGCTGGTAATTACATTCAGCTTCATCGGGCAAGAATGGCGAAGCTCTCCTGTTGCTCCCGGTCTTAAATAGAGCAGCAGCAGCAGGGTGACGTCATCATTTAATTCAATCTGGTGCAGTGATTCGAGGCTAAGAGGGGGGGAGGGTATTGTAATTATCTAGATTGGTAATCATTCAATTGTTATTCATTGGTATTTGTTTCCCTTCTAAGGAATTGTAATTGTATTTATTTAATAATACGCTTCAGTACTGCTGTACACCGCAGTTCCCCATTTTCGCCAGCAGCCAGCACTATGCCACTAGGTATGTACCAGATGGAAAATCCTCCAGTACAGCCATGGCTCCTCGAAGTACGTGGTCGAAAAAGATGTAAAATAATGTAGGTGCCAGAGGACATCCCTGTCGCACCCCAAAGTGAAAAGGGAATGGCTCTGATACACATACGCACATACATGCACATAGACATAACGAAGAAATGTCTATACATGTTCCCACACATTCACGCACAACGTTCATGCATGAATGCACGCATTACACACGAAAATATGTGCTCGCACAATCGCATATGTATGCATTCAGAGTGCAATGTTATTTCATCCCAGGGATGATTCAATCAATGTTATCATGCACGTACAACAATGCAGGGACACGTGTAATAATATGTGTGCATGCAGGTGTAATGTGGTGTGCAGTGTGTTTAGGAGTGGTGTATTGTATGCAGATGTGGTACCTGTGATTCGGGTGTATAATGGACGTTGGTTTTGCACATGTATGTATTGTGTGGACAAACACGTTTCTTACAGGCGTAGCATAGCTTGTGTTCTGGTGTCATGTGTTGCTTGTACGTGTGTGTTAGGTACAGCCATGGTGTGCATGAGTATTGTCTGTGTGGTGTGTGCGAGTGAGATATGGCGAGCAAGTGTGTGCTGTAGTGTGCTCAGATGTGCCATGAATTGTGACCTGTGTACATAGATGTGCATTAATGGTGTAGCTTGTACAGGTGTAGTGTGTACAAGTGTGCTGTGTACTGTGTTGTTTCTGCGATCAGGTTCAGTTCAACGTGCAGTATAATGCTGCCTCGGGCTACATTGATAACGTGACGGCAATAATAGACCAGGCGAACTTGACACCCATCAACTCCTCCTTACTTCAGACATTCACTGTCTCCTTCGTTTCGGTACGTATATTGTGCAGGTATGTATGTACAGGTACTGTGTGCATGTGTCTTTGTTGTAGGTCGACTCAGCCTCAAATGTGTACCTGGTGCGATGTGTAAACAACACTACTGGGGAGACAAAAATCAGCCGGGAATGGTGCTGGCTACACCACCTTCTCGTGTGCCGTGCCGGCCTTAATAGGTGCTCACTAACAGCGCTTGCCCCTAAAGTCTTTTAAAGTGCTACGGCAGATCTTTGTCTTCTTGTATTTCGTGTTGTCCAATCGTAGGGGGACCGTAGGTGGTGCATCTGCCAGTAATCTCAGTCAACCCATGGCACCCCGTGACCTTTTAGCAAGCCTTCGACACTTCACATGGCCTCAAAGTGCACCTAGCCTGACAAGCATTGTGTTACGTCACCGCCACTTAGGGGCATATGGCAGCTGTTGTTGTCCTTTGTGCCTGAATGTGATGCTGCCAACGGTAACACGACTCGTATGTGTGACTGCGGCTTGAAGACCAATACGTTAGTGGCAGTCTTTCCCACGGTGATTGTAATTTTAGGGTAACATTTGAGGAAAGGTTGCCTGTTGAAACTCTAGTTGTTTACGAAGTGTATGTGTGGTGTGTGCTGACTGAGCACACAACTTGGCACAGTGGCAAGTACAGAGGGTGCATCTACCAGTCATCTCGGTTGACCCATAAAACCTGCATGTCCCGTGACTTCTTGCCAGCAAGCATTGGACACTTCATGTGATCTCAAAATATGCACGTGCGTTTGAAGAGAGCAGTTAAATGCAATGATGCGTGTTGTCCACAATGATCTTTGAAACCGTTGGTGCTTGTATAAAAGCATAAATGTGTGTAAATAGGTGTGCATGCATTGGAGTCTGCACGCGTGTGTGTGTGTGTACCTGTGTATGTGTCTGGGCGCAGAATGAGAGGAATATACCTACCAAGCGTAGTGGGAACCCAGGATACCTTTGGGATCATCCACTGCTTGGCATCTCAAACACTTCATATCCTTCAGCCAACACTTACACACACACGTGCACAGCCCTTTTGTGAATCCACTGTTAGATGGGGGCCTTCCCCGCTCCATGCGTGTCATGAGGGAGAGTTGACCATAATTTACCAGAGTGGTCAGTGTGACCATAGAAAGTACAGAACCACAATGGATTTTAGTAATATGTTTTTACCCTTTTATCTGGCACCAAAACTGACACCTTTATACAAGGGATCATGTTTGCAATAACCACAACACTTGCAGTCGAAATGCAACAATGGATGTTGCTGCACTATTCACATAGGCCACACACAGCAGCTTGCAGTAATCTGACATGCGTGGTGGTTGCTCGTCTTAAGTGCTATTTAGGAAACGTACACATAAGGGACGAGTTCCAGATTTTGTAAAAATTCAGATTTTTCAGCGCGTCAACATTTACATACTAAAGCTAGTGGATTCTCACGCGTGACTTTTCGATCGCGAGTGTAGAAATTTGCTAAAATAAATCTACCTTAATTTTTAAACCTTTTAGCCGATGCAACCATTGCATGCCTTGCACACGTTCGTATAATTTGGCCCGCATATATGTAACACAAAATTGTAAACGACCGTGCCTTTGGCGGTGCAAGTATCGGCACACATCCAGAGGTTTCAGAGGTCAATTGCTTAGGCACGATCCTCAAACATCCACTGTGATATTATCCCGTGTAAACACATCCTGGTAGCGATGAAATTGGCTCGTGTGCAGCAGGTGCTAGGTGGATTATTACCTCTGAAGATGGCGAGAGATGGCAATGGCTTACGGGGAGGCCTTCAACCAGCAGTAGATGTATAAATTGAAGACATTCCTACACGTGCATGACCTCTCGTGTACGTCTCGATTCCCTGCTTCCTTGACCACCCCCCCTCACCACGCGAATTCAAGTTCATCTCCCGACTGACACGGACTGCGATCGTCAGCGTCGGCCGGCTCTCTTTGGAGTGCAAACCTTAGCTGGATGCACCCTCAGGTTTGTCTCTCACCCAACAGCCCCCGGGGAATGACACATGCGGTTAAAGGTGACCAAGTCAAGAGTGCCTAGTTCTGTGTGCCTAAATTCAATTTCGCACCGTACGTAGTCAACCGTGCTAATCGGACTTGCGGGGGAAGGACAACAAACTAAACACCAAAAGTAGTTCTCAAGAAATGAGTTTTTTTTTATTCTAGATTTTAAAGTGCACAGCTCCAATGGCTTCCTAATATCGGAAGAGCATTCCAGACGGCCGCGGAAACGCATCTGAAAGCACGATGTAGTGACCGTCTTTGTTCGATGGCTAGCCAAAAGCCGCTGTGAAGATGAACGGAGTTCCTGTGATGGTCTATGCTTCTTTGACGAGATTAGCAAGGTTTTGTGGTTCATTTGTGGCAAGCACTTTGTGTGTATTCAGTGCGACCTTATAATGTATTCGTTCGGCAACAGGAAACCAACAATGGCAGAGGTCAGATCCGGCACCTTGGTCTGAGTATCTCTCTTTCATGTACATGTGTACAGCTCTTTTTAAATCCTTTATATTAAGTTCGCGTGCTTGCTTGCGTGCTTGCTTGCTTGCGTGCTTGCTTGCTTAGGACCGTGCAAATCTTTCGATCGTTTTTTAACCCACTTCCCGTGATCCAATCGAGCTGACATTTTCCACACAGACTCGTTGTGCCAGACAATTATTGTTCATGAAAAAAAATTCCCAAAATTGTACACTTTTTAAGCAAAAAAAAAAATATTTTACATATATTCAAATAGAACGCATTCATGGCTTTGGCTGAACGTCAGAGTGTAAGAGCCCAGAGCGTAACCCCTACACAGGCCGTGGCGGAGTAGCGCAGTTGGTAGCGCCCTCGCTTCCCCTGCCAAAGGTCGCGGGATCGATCCCCGCGTCCTCCACAGGCGAATATATTTTTAAATCCTTTATATTAAGTTCGCTGCCACGCATATAAAGGATTTATAGTGAAAAACTTTGTTTTTACGGGTTATACTTATTGCTCATCTGCTGTTGGATGATCCCCCCATTCCACACGCGTATGCGAAGAGTTATTTGACGATACTTCACCTCACTGGTCAGTATGGTTCGGTGAAAACATTGAGCTTAGTTATTGGATAATAAAATGACAGTGCAACAATGTATTGCGCTGCACTTCCCATCCGACGCTGACCACATAATCCCGCAGCCTCTAATAACCTGACTACTGTGTAGTGGTCACTCTTGCAAGCACTGTCCAGAGTCAATGCCGCTTCACTTCCAAGATCTGATCGGGGTTTGGTGCGTTGCCGTGACTTGATCACAAGCATCTCCCTTTCAGGAGGTGCATAGTGGCCAGGTCAGGGCACAGCCATTGCCACTGAACACTTGGGTTCAAACCCTCATGTTGCTTCCAAAGCGTTGAATCATCACCACCACTAAGATCTTGATTTTACTCCCTTGTCACTAGGGGTTCATAATAACCATGCTGGTATACTGCACCAGTATCTCTTATGTGTGGGTTCATGCCCTGGTGTAGGGTGTCTCTTCCACGTAACACATTCCTGCGGAGGGAGCTGGTAGGAATGTTGGGTTGTTCGGTCAATGGCCAGGGTCAACGGCGGCGTGGTGTATTCCGCAAATATGCCCGACTGTGAGGGCGGGCACAGGCCGGCGTGAGTAGGTTAAACGTTGAGTTTTATAAGGGCACCACGGGGTGACCAGCCCCTCCCCACCCAGCCCCACCCCTCCCACCCCCCACCCAGCCCCACCTTCCCCACCCAGCCCCTCCCCACCCTCCCCTCCCCACCCAGCCTCTCCCTGCACGATGGATGGACGGACCCAATAATCCCCTGTGGGCTGGTGTAACCAGGAGGTTCCTACCAGTATCGTGCTGATATGGTCGTGTGTGTTGCCGATGTGTCATTGTGCGCAGGCTGGACAATCAAACGAACTGCATGGAAATACAGCGCCGTGTGTTGAACGCATGGCTCGGTAACGGAAACCAAAGCTATCCGGAGAACCTGACACAGTGGGGAGACGCGATGGATCTGAAAATGGAGGCACCCTCTGTACCCATCGTGGGATTGGCCACACTTTTGGTAAGCTCAGACTATAAACAATGTCCCCCCTTTTACCTATAGAGACTGTTGGAGCAATTGTTGTTCGCGAGCAACGATTAAGGCTGGCTGTTGTGTGGGCTGGCATCATGTCCAGTGACACTTTGTCTCTCCATTGCTGATGTTGGAACACTGCATTGCAGGCCGAGTTGACCTAGGGGAGGCTGAGGGGAAGTTTTTTTTTATACCACTAATGATGTACAGTGGTACCTCGGTATACGTCATTAATTCGTTCCAGAAGGTAGGACTTATACCGAAAATGACGTATACCAAACAATTTTTTCCCATAAGAAATACAGGGAAAGGAAATCATCCGTTCCAGAGGAAAATAAATGATATTTTATATGGCATATTATACATTAATGGGGTTGTATAAAATAATTTAGACACTAATTACTAAAATGCATACAGAAGCCACGTGACCGCACTGCTGCCAGCTGCGCTGGTCACGTGGCGTACCTCAACCCGAGGCTCAACCCTCCATGGGGGCAGACCCCCACATCCCCCGCCCCTCTCCCCCACGTCCCCCGCCCCTCTCGCTTTGTCTCAGTCATGAATGGGGCATACGCGGGTACTGTACGCGGTGACTCATCCCGACCCACACAAGTTCTAGTAAACACATCGTATCTCAAGCAAGACGTCGTATCCCAAGCAAGACGTCGTATCCCAAGACATTTTTAAATCCTTTATATTAAGTTCACTTGTTTGCTTGCTTGCGTGCTTGCGTGCTTGCTTGCTTGCTTACGACCGTGCAAATCTTTTGGTCGTTTTTTAACCCACTTCCCGTGATCCAATTGAGCTGACATTTTGCACACAGACTCGTTGTGCGTGACAATTAATTTTCGTGAAAATTTTTTTCCAAAATTTTACACTGTTTAGGGAAGACAATCATCTGACCCATAGGTGGCAGCCATCTCAAGCCAGAGGACAAGAGGACTCTAGCCGCCCGTTTCATGATGACGCAAATGTTGACTAACCACATGGCATGAAATCCCTGCCCCCACGCTGTACACTGGAGACTATTTATAGAGCAGTTAAATTGAAGCCGCCAGGTTCTTGAAAGTGGTAAAACGGGTCAACGCTAGTGCCCTCGGGAATATACGGGGCATGTCAAGAGGTGATCTTACATATAAAGGATTTATAGTGAAAAACTTAGTTTTTACGGGTTAATTTTTTTCTCTCGAAAAAACACGACGTATACCAAATTCGATTTATTCCAAAGCGGTCGTATACCGAGGTTCCACTGTATATATTTGGGAGTTGAACCCTGTTCACTGTGATGCTGGCACTGCAAACACATGTACACTAAAGGATTGCTACAAGAGACGTGGAAATTCATTGAGTCATTGCTCGACAGGGAATGTTGTTGACAACGCGTGCATGGAATTACACGCTTAAGAATGTTTGATTCATGTGCGTTGAACTTCTTTCGCACCATTTGTAGCCAACTGCGCTCTTGCACAATGTGGGGGGGGGGGGGGGAATTACTGAGTCAACGTACATTAGGCATGTGCGATTCATTCCGTGCATTGTACCGCAATCGGTTGACATAACTCCTGCGGCCACTGGAGGTGCAAAAACCGGCAGCGGCGTAAAACAAGAGGCAATTAGAGGCGCTTCTCGCTTAATGAGCGAGACACGTTGAGAAAATTGCTCGCTAGGGGAAAACTCGTTAAACGATCGTTTTCCCATGGGCAAATCGCCTGATGAAGCTGGTTGTAATCCATACTCTTGGTTCATTCGATGAAGTCACGTAGGTAAAGAAAAGAAAATAAAAGATAAAATAAATCGCAAAAAACAGTTGCTGAAATAGGCAAAAGAGCTACAATCATCAGGGGATTATCTGCTGTGATTGTTCCCACCTGATGACGGATGCTTGTGTTGCATCCGAAACGTCGTGATTTCTTTTTATCTTTTATTTTATTTTCTTTACCTACGTGACTTTACCGAAAGGACCAAGAGTATGGATCCCTGCAGTCACGAAAACTTCAAAGCTGGTTGTAATCGCCAGTGAAACGTCGCACTCAAATTATAAATGTTGGTGGGTTTACTCTCCAACACACCGGTGTGCTGAAGTACTAATTGGCACATTTTGTCGACGTGGCAAACCTTACTAATTGGCTGCTGGGTAGTTGTGGGTTAACGACACATTTAGATTTACGCGATCTATCCCAAACATGTTTTATTAACACCATTGGTACCTCATTTGCCAGTAAAAAATATGATAATAGTTTTTTTACCCTTCTATCTGGCAACAAAACTGACACTTTTTTACGAGGAGTCATGTTTGCATAGACCACAATACCTGCAGTCATAATGCAAACAAAAAACATAACTCTGATAATGTATGCACTGTCCTTGAAGTTGATTGGTCCACACCCGAGACAGCTTTCCTTAGAGCCTAGTCTCACATGGGTTGGCGCCTTTTGGCGTCATCTGGTCCAACCCATGTGAGACTAGGCTCTAAGGAAAGCTGTCTCGGGTGTGGACCAATCAACTTCAAGGACAGTGCATACATTATCAGAGTTGTGTTTTTTGTTTGCATTCCGACTGCAGGTATTGTGGTCTATGCAAACATGACTCCTCGTAAAAAAAGGTATCAGTTTTTGTTGCCAGATATAAGGGTAAAAAACCAATTATCTGGTTTTATTATGTTTGTTAGAGGTTGCTGCAGGGCTAAATTGTGGGCAGCGCAGCTAAATCTGCTGTGCTGTACCATGCTCTTATCTCCACGTCTTCACCAACCTGAAAGACCGCATGGTGAAGTACGGTGAAATAACTTGTACAGTGTTGGCAGGCCTTTAACCAGCTTTGGACTGACAAAAGCGCTGCACGTGTACTTTGTACGATTCATGGCGTGGTTTTTCGGTGTGTTGTAGCGTGTGGCGGCGCGGGAACATATGTGCGCCGACTAGCGTGCGTTGTTGCGTGTCACCGCAGGAGGGGTTGGAATGCGACGCTCTCAATTGTACGCTGACATTGTCCGCAAAACTCGACGTGCTGTGGTCGCTGCACGGGTCCCTGGAAAACCCACAGAGGCGCGTGGTCGGGGCACGGATCATTCCAGGACGAACAAAACCAGTACGCTCACTTACTTGCCAACTCACATGGGCACACACACACACTCAAATCACTCACTATCAAACAGGCATGCTCACTCACAAGGGCAAACGCACACATAGGCCCGCTCACTCACTTGCACTCACACATACTCATACACGTGTAATGTGAGGATATATCCGGGTTGCTGATGGATCACACCTCGTTACGATGATTGGCTCTGCCGGTCCTGGCCCATAGCCAATGGGAGGAAGTCTAGGGGCGTGGCCCTGACGTAATGGGAAGGTGACATCTGTAAGTAAAGGATTGGTTCTGCTGGCTTTAGCCACAGCCAATGAGGGGACGATTCAGGGGCGTGGTCCCGGGAGCGTACGATGGAGTCTAGAAGATTCCATAGAGGTTAACCAGGATTGGTGGAAAGGTACCATGTGACCCGGGTATTAAAAGGGGTGGAGACGAAAAACACGTGGTCAGATCTGGAACGAACGGAGGGTGAGGCCACGCTGGAGCGGGGTCCAGGCTGCCACGTGGCCGCGCGTCTCTCTCTCTCCCTCTCTCCCTCTCACGCTGTCTGTCAGCAGCGTGAAGGAGTAAGATAGGAGTGTTGTGAACGAAAGACAAATAAAGACCAGATTCCAGAAGTCGCTTCCACGACCTTTATTACACAGGCACGCTCCCGAGTATGTGTAGTACAGAATGGGTCCCTGTGTCCGCATATAACTGTGTGTACTCATGTACATGCCTCTATCTACATAATGTCCCAATATACCTGGGTCTTCCATCGGAGGTTTTTGGGTTAGATCGCGTAAATATATCAATGCGTTGTTAAAAACCGCCACCACCCGACACAGCCAACTGGTAAGGGTTGTCACCTAAACAGAACATTCCAATTCGTCACTAGTACAGCACTAACCGGTGTGTTGGAGAGCAAAGCAACAATATTTACAATCTGAGTACGACGTTTCGCCAGTAATTACAATGAGCTTCATCAGGCGACAGCCAGATTTGTGGAGAAGTCACCTGTTTCGTTCCTTACATAGGGGCGTAGATGTGGAGAGTAGGCTTCTGCGCTCTTGCACAATGTGGGGGGGGGGGGGGGGAATTACTGAGTCAACGTACATTAGGCATGTGCATTATGCAGGCCCTTTGAACGTGTCCTTCCTGTCTATTGTTTATTGAAATAGCCATACCAACGGTAATCCCTATTGAAGTACGCTGCCCTTTGTAGGCATGCAATTAAATTATGTATTTCATGATTCGCTTCCACGCAGCACTAAGGCGGTAGCTATCCGAACGGTTAAAGTTATTTTGATTTCTTTCAATTTCGATAGATTCTCTAATTAGTCTTGGCCAGTAGTAGCTAGTTTTGCACAACACTTCAACATTATCAAAATCAATTGAGTGTCCTTGTTGGCACGTGTGTTCTGCTACTGCTGACAGTTGTATTTGGGATAATTTAATATTTCTCTGATGTTCTTTTATACTCGTGCTGATCATTCGTCCTGTTTGCCCAACATAACATTTACCACACGTGCAGTTAATCCTGTACACACCTTCTGTTGATAGCTTCGGTAATACATCTTTCGTACCAGATATTAATTTCTGTTTTTTTTATGTACCGTGCCAAATCGGACTCGGATGTTTTGTTTTTCCAAATATCTGGCTAGCTTATCAGTTACTCCCGCAATTTTGATCGTTTTAATTACTTGGGCAGTTTCAATGCTATTACTGGTAGGAACCACCTGGTTCCACCAGCCCACAGGGGATTATTGTGTCCGTCCGTCGTGCATCCAAAAATGGGAGGGGTGGGGCTGGGTGGAGAGGGGAGGGTGGGGAGGGGCTGGGTGGGGAGGGCTGGTCACCCCGTGGTGCCCTTATAAAACTCAACGTTTAACCTACTCACGCCGGCTTGCGCCCGCCCTCACAGTCGGCCATATTTGCGGAATACACCACGCCGCCGTTGACCCTGGCCATTGACCGAGCAACCCAACGTTTCCTACCAGCTCCCTCCGCAGGAATGTTATTTGATTTGGTTTTGGTATTCAATACCCTATGATTTGTGCATCATTGTCACCGTTCATTTGCAGCGCTTCTTTAACATGTTGCATTTCACTTCTCAGACTCTCACCATCTCGATGAATGAGCGTCTTGATAAGAGCAGATTTCTGTGCGGGGTGATGGTGTGACTGCATTCAGATAGGCGTCAGTATGCGTTTTCTTTCGGTAAACACTGTGTTGTTTTTCCATTTCAACCCCGTCCGAGCAGAATATCCAGAAATGGCAGAGTTCTATCAGCTTCCACTTCCATGGTGAACTGGATGGATGGGTTTTGCGAGTTGAGATGATGAGAAATTGCGTTCAGTGTATCTTTGCCGTGTGGCCAGACCACCAATGTGCCATCCACATATCTAAACCAAGCAGATGGTTTTAGTGTGTTTGAAGCTATTGCTTTTGCTTCAAATCTTCCATGTACAAATTTGCTATCACAGGATACAAAGGAAAGCCCATGCTGCTCCTTCCTTTTGTTTATAGAAGTCACCTTGCCACAATAAGTAAGTGTTCTTTAGACAGTGTTCAGCTAGTCTTGGGATATCTTTGGCTAAACCTTTGTTCGTTACCAGAGTGTCGAGTAATTTAATTGACCCGTGACCGGAACCCTCGTGAATAGAGAGGTCACATCAAAACTTACGAGGATATCATTAGGGTTAAGCTTAATATCTTCATTATATTTACGAGATGTTCGATGTAAAGCTGTATTTGTTTCGTTAAGTATTGTGCTAATTTGTACGTGGCAGAGCCTATTGTACTACGGGTTCTTAATGGGACATCAGGTTTGTGAAAAAAAAATTTGGTAGCCCATAAAATCTTGGTGGTTTTGATGCCCTTGGTTTGATCAGGTATTGCTCTTCCTTGGGAATAGATGACTTGGCGATGATGCTGTTGTTTTACGTTCTAAAAATCTTTGGTTTTATTATCATAGTCCTCACGGGGCATAACAACAAATCGATCAGCCCCTTATCAGCAACAATAATTTGGATATCTTTATTTGCTCCTAATTCCCTTAAGGCTTTTGCTTCACCGAAGTTAATATTTGTTTTTGGCAATTTGCTGCTCTCAATAATTTTGTCAACTTCGTGCCGAGTCATCTCAGCTTGACTATGGGGGAGATGTCTAACTGCTGATTCCACTTCAGCGATGATCTCATCGACAGGGATTGTACGTGGGGCAACAGCAAAGTTAAGACCTTTTCACAGGACTGAAACCACATATCGCTGGATAATTCCAACGTTAGTCATGTTGTCACTATCTCACCATATCCCCGACATGTAACAATTGATATGGTGCATCAATAATCGTTTTCTGGGTTTACAGATGGGACATGTAACACGGGGAGATGTACCATCTCAGTTCTACATGTAACTCGCTCCCTGTCTCGATGTACCTGCGCTGGTTAGGCATTGCCTCACCAACCCTATTTTACCTGGAATGGCCCCTTCTACAAAGAGAATGAGGGTACCCCTATGGGCTCCCCTTGTCACCAGTTATAGCCAACATGTTCATGGAAAAGTTTGAATCAGACCATGTAACTATCGCCCCTTGTCCCCAGTGTAACAGCACACGGAGCGTGCCGCTGACGCTGTCGCTGTCGCTGAGCTTCACCGACGTGGACCCCACCTCGTCCAGCCACACCGCCCACGGACGACTTCTCCTGCCGGTTCATGCAGGGACGCACTTGAACGTGCGCGCACGTGTGTGGAGAGTGGTCCTGTCGTGGTTAGTGCACTTTGCTAAATACTCGCGCGGCTGCGTTGTTTACCAGCCACGGTTAACATCGGTGGCCCATTATCTGAACTGATTCTGGTCCTCGAGAAAAGCTGGTGCCGTGTGT